CTGGGTTCAGCTGGGTCTGAGGTCAGCCTGGCTTCCCTAGACTGCAGTCTGTTAGACACGAAGCCTGGCTGTGGGCAACTATTTGCCCTCCTGCAAGCGTGGCTTCACACTGATTTCCTAGGAGGAAGTGACTAGAATCAAGTCTTAGGGTTTTTACTGTTGTGATAAAACATGGGTGACCTAGAGCAACTTGTCGGGGAAAGGGTTTAGTTTGCTTACACTTCCAGGTAATGGTCCATCACTGAGGAAGTCAGGGCAGGGACCTGCAGGTGGAAACTGAAGCAGAAATCATGGGGGAACAATGCTTACTGCCTTATTCAGCCTGCTTTCTTTCTTTTTTCTGTTTTCTTTTTCTTTTTCTTTTTTTTTTTTTGTTTGGACTCAGGGTCTCCCTGTGTGTTATAGGCTGGTCTCCTATAGGGGGGGATCCACCTGCCCCTGCCTCCTTATTTCTGGGACTAAAGTCATATGCCACCATGCCAAGCTTCATGCTGCTTTCTTACACACCCTAGGACCACCTGCCCAAGGTTGGCACTGCCCACAGTGACCAAGGCCCTCCCACATCAATCATTAATTAAGAAAATGCTCTACAGACTTGCCAATAGGCCATCTGAAGGAGTCATTTTCTCAGTTTAGGTTCCTCTCCAAAGATGATTCTAGCATGTGTCAAGCTGACAGAAAACCAACCAGGACACATGGCTTGCCCTGCTTAGAGAACCCACAGCCCGTGGGAAAGTAGGATTCCAGCAAAAAAGACATGGCAGACAGAGACCATACAGACTGGCCTCCTGCAGCTGGTATTTGAGAATCTGCAAAGTTCCTCTCCTCCCCGACTCCATGGTGTCCACCAAAGCATGCTCCCTCCAGCTGTGTGACCACAGGGGGCATTTGGCTGGTCCCTTCCCATCCACATATTAGCTACTGTGTTTTTTGTGTGTGAAAGGAGTTTGTGGCAAGTACTGATACACTGGCAGCCAGATTAGTCTAGGAATAGACTCCCGAAGGCCCAGTCTTGGATTCCCCCTCCAGTCCTGCAGTATGCTCTTCATTCACCACTCTCTCTTGATACGCTCCCAGAAGAAAGTCTTCTGGGCAGTTTCCTCCCGACTTGTAAGTTGTGTCTTGACTCCGGCTTATGGTATAAAGGCCTAAAGGTATCAGTATGCAGGCCAAGAGACACGTTTTTTTAATAAGACAAGCCTCCAACCTGAAACCATAGTAAATGTGCAGCTGCCTCAGACTTTATCTCCTCAGTTTTCCATTGAGAAAATATTTTTTAATGGTTCTGGTAATTGAACCTAGGAGCTTTCGTGAGTTAGAGAAGTGCTCTACACAGGCTACACCTCCAACCCCCATCTAGCAAGCATGTATCAAGCACTTACCATGACCTTGCTAGCCACTAAATCCAATGGTGAATGGTAACTCAGTGTGTGAACACAGTTCTGCCTTCAAGAATCTCACAAGTCCAAAGCTAGAAATCATTGCAATAGGGACACCTGATTGTCCAGGTTTCTATAAGTGACCACTCATCAGAAACCTATTGAGGTAGTGTCGGAATGCCTGAAGCCAGCTGCATCTCCCAGAGCTGTCTCTGGGACAGAGACTTAAGCAGTCTGCCTGGTAACTTGACAGCTCTCACTTTATGATACTTGGCTCTTCATGCTCTTTATCACATATTCTGTACTGATCTAAATCAATATATGAAACTTCCCACAACCTCAAGGGTTTCTAAAAGTCAAGTCTTTCCTTCATTCAGGTGATTGGTTTGAGACTTTGGAGGGAGATTTCTGGGGAGGTGACCTTGAAGGCTGCTATCTGCAAAGGTTCCTGCCCGACCCATCCCTATCACACCTCCTCCCACCCTCCCCATTCCCCTTCTCATTTCCTTTTCTCATTCTTACTCTTAAAGAAGCTCCTACCAGGTTTTAAAGACAAGCCTCCCCTTCCTTCCCTTTAAGGCCCCATCACGTTTGATCTCCATTTATTGTACTATGTCTTACATTCTTCCTCCAACCTTGAACCTTAGTCATGGCCTTAAGGCCCTTTTCTTCTAAGGAAATTCACCAAAGGGAATTGTGACACCTTCCTTTCCAAACTGACTGCTGTTGCTCATCTTTTATTATAGTAAGAAACCCTGTGCACAGGGATCTCATGAAAAAGACCATGGTTTTGGAAGCACTACACCTTGCTGGGCTGTGGCCAGGGTGTGGCACCATAGCTGTGTTTCAGTGGCAAAAATGAGCCACTCTCTTCCTGATTGCCACAGTGCCGCCATATTGGCCATTGTGCTCAGGACAGCGGAGCCATCACTCTAAATTTGGAAGCAGAATCTGGGATATTCTGCAGTAGAGAATGCTGGGTATTCTGCAGTAGAGGATGATGGGTATTCAAGAGGATGATGGGTCAGTTGCATGGAGGGATGCTCTCGAAGCCTCTCTATCTAAAGAACTTCTGGCTTCCTCCCTGGTTCCTAGGACTTCACCATGACCCTGTACCTGAGGCATTACTGGAGGGATGAGAGGCTGGCCTTTCCCAGCACCAGCAACAAGAGCATGACCTTCGATGGCAGGCTTGTGAAGAAGATCTGGGTTCCTGATGTCTTCTTTGTTCACTCCAAAAGGTCATTCACTCATGACACCACCACTGACAACATCATGCTGAGAGTGTTCCCAGATGGCCATGTGCTATACAGCATGAGGTAACAGTCCTTGACCATTGTTCCTTTGTCCACTGTCATCCCAGGGTGTCTTGCCAGATCCTTTAGCCCTGATGAGTTTGTCTCTGTAGTGGGGTCTATGGGTTAGCACAAGCCTTTTGATGTCGGTCAGTCTGATGCCACCTCTGCAGATGGCAACTTCTTTGCTTTACAGTTGAGCTATAAGACTAGTTTGGCCTAGACTTGATGAGAACAATGACCTTTTATCACTTAAGAGTCCATGACTCTAGTTGATTGACATTAAAGACTTAAAATTAGTAACAGTCCTACTGTTTATTAAGTGCTATTGCAGATTGGCTTTGATACAAACTTGGCAGATTCAAGTGTCCATATTCATGGCCTATTCATGTGAGTCACCAGAATTAATGTTAGTCCCAGATATCATCTTATCTTGGGTAGACAATGGTGCAGGCCTTCTCCCCCAAGCCTCTCTGAGGGAGGCAGCCCTGCTGGCTGAGGTGGTGTAAGAGAAGGGTGCAAGGGTGGACACTTAGCGGGCACCACTCCCACTCCAACAGCAGGGGGGCAGAAAGCCAGATAAAAGAGACCCACCAAGGTTCCAGAAGACAAAGACCTAATTGTGTTTCTGTGGCTTAGATGCCTGACTTCTGAGGGTGACCCAGTGAGGCTTCTGCCACCCTAGGTGGTATACTGGATATTCCTAAGTGTGACCAGAGCCTGAGCTGATGGTCCACTCTCAAGCCAGCTGTGTCTGTGTTGTGCAGAATTACCGTCACTGCCATGTGCAACATGGACTTCAGCCACTTCCCCCTGGACTCCCAGACCTGCTCTTTGGAGCTAGAGAGCTGTAAGTATCCATGGCTTTCATGTCTTTGCCTCATTCCCTCTCCCATCTTTGTGCCACTTGAGAACCGTGAAGTTGAGGGCTGCCTCCTGCGCCAGGAACTGTTCACCCTGGCACAGGGTTTCCTTGTTGCTTTACATAGTAAAGGTGTCAGTTCACTTATTTTCCTCTTCCCAAGATGCATACACAGATGAAGATCTGATGCTGTACTGGAAGAATGGGGATGAATCCCTGAAAACGGATGACAAGATCTCCTTGTCCCAGTTTCTGATTCAGAAATTTCACACAACTTCCAGACTGGCCTTCTACAGCAGCACTGGTAGCTAATTACTGTCACAGCCAGACTCAAATGTACAAGAAGCACATTTGAATGCTCCAGCCTTAACCCTTTCCACTTCCAACAAATATAATTTCGATTATTCAAATAAAGCATAGTCCCAAACAACACATCATCATCATCATCATCATCATCATCATCATTATGGTTTTTTTTTTTTTTATTTTTCAAGACAAGGTTTCATGGTATAGCTTTGGCTGGCCTGGAATTCACAGAGAATCCACCTACCTCTTCCTCCTGAGTGCTGGGATTAAAGGTGTGCATCGCCACCACCTGGCCCTGGGAATAGCACTTTTAAAAAGCAGGAAATAGAGTCAAAACACTGCCATCTTCTGAGGCCCCACCCCCAGAGGTGACACAAGTTAGTAAATGCTCTCAAGACATCTTACTGTAGCTGTGGATTTCGTAAGAGTGGGGTTGTGCCTGTCATGCTACTCTGCAGCCTTATTTGTCCTACTTCACAGCTATGCAAGGAAAAGTCTTTATTATCTATATCCTAATTATATTTTGGTTTGTTTTTCCTGATGGTGGCTGAATGCAAGGCCTCGCATATGCTCAGTCTGTGTGCTATTTCTGTGCTACCTCACACCACCAACCCCAGGAGTGTGATGTTTCAGCACTTAGTTTAACCTCTTGGTACCGGGGCCATGTGTGAAAATTTGAAGGGATCCATTTGTCAACAACCTTTGTCTGGTCTCACCTTAAACTCCTTGGTTAGATTTTTAGGTCTGCCAAAATGAAATTCTACAGACTGGGTGTTTTAAACAACAGAGATTTATCTTGTCACAGTTTGTGAGGCCAGAGGTCTGAGGGCCATGGTCCTTCTGCAGGCTGCAGGGAAGAACCCTCTGCAAGCAATGCCTTGAACCCTTGACCTGCAGCTGTGCCACTCTAACCTGCTTCAGTTGTCATGCGATGTTCTGTATCCTACTTGGTGTCTTTCCTATGTGACTTTCCTTCTTCTTGTAGGGACACAGGTCACTGTGTTAGGGTCTATTATAATCCAGCATGACCTTATTTTGTCTTGATTAGATCTGCAAAGACCTTGTCTTTAAATAAGTTTCCACTAAATAAGTGGGAGTTAAGACTTCTATTTACCTTTAAATACAATTCAACAGAAAAACGCAGGTATAGGTTCCCAATGGGACTCTACTTCATCAACACTTGTCCCACAGCCAAGATGCCCAAGCCCCTCTGTGGAAAGCTTTTGTGTGCCTTCCTGATCCTGACTGCTCTCCTAGCCAGTCACTTGCACCCCTACCCATACTCTTCTCATAGAACCAAACACTGGAAGAGCACAGGCCCATCTAGTACTGTATGGGCATCAGAACAGCGATGGGCCTGCTTCAAGTGTATGCCCAAAGGGCTCATCATTATCTCCTCCCCTTCACTCTGATAAGCACACATGACTTGCCTAGCTATTCATTGTAGCTGTTATCTTGTTTAATTTTTAAAACTATTTTATTTTATGTAGATAAGTATTTTGCCTGCATGTATGTATGTGTACCATGTGTGTGTCTTCAGATGTCAGAAGAAGGCATTAGATCCCCTGAAACTGGAATTATGGATGGTTGTAAGTCACAATATGGATGCTGGGAACCAAATCTATGCACTCTGGACAAGGAGTCAGTGATCTTAACCACTAAGCCATCTCTCCAGCCCTCTTATTTATCCTTTCCAAGTCCAAATCAATGAACTAACTGCTAAGAATTTCTTAACATATTGCCAGGTGGTGGTGGCACACACCTTTAATCTCAGAAGTCACTCAGGAGGCAGAGGCAGGTGGATCTCTGTGAGTTCGAGGCTAGCCTGATCTACAGAGTGAGTTCCAGGGCAGGCTCCAAAGCTAAACAGAGAAACCCTTTCTAAAGAAACAAACAAAAATTTTTCTTATGTACCCTTTATTATGTGCCACTTTGTATAAATTTACTTCTACCCTACAAACCAAGACTTAGATATTTATTATTCTTTGATTTCAGATCGGGAAACTGAGACTTAAAGATTTAAGCTATTGGTTCAGGTTTCAGAGGTGGAAAAGGCCGTGTTTGTTCCTATTGGTGACTTCTGTGCTTTTAACAGTACACGTGTCTATTTTCCTTCCCATTCAAGCCTTTCTAGAGCTCAGAGTCAAATGCATATTCTGTTTCCTGTCTTCACTATATACTGCACTCATGCCATGGGAGTGGTGGTCTCACACAGGAGACACACAGTGCTCATGCTCATAGCTCTTTTCTCTGTCTCCGTGTTCCCAACACATGATACCTGCTTTTCTTGAGTAGTGACAAGGATGATGGAATAGCCCTTACTGGGACAGAGGCAGCTGTCAGGAAGAGTCTGTGCAAACCTCAAGTAGTGTGATTTCCCTCATGGATGCCATTTGCAGTGTCGAGAGCAGCAAAGGTGGGGTGAGGTGGGAAGTGGTGAGCTGATTGTTTCTTCTTGTTCTTGAAGTTCACTTTCTGTTTGTCCATCTCACGAAAAGCGCCAGCCCATTCAGACAGCCCAGAAGACCTCAGCAGCCAGGGGTCAAACCTACCTGAACACACCCTGTCTTTCCAGACCTTTCCTCCTGGCCTAACCCTTCCTCCCCGCTCTGTATTTACCTCCTGCTCTAGCCAGACTGTCTGCTCCCCAGTGTTTCTTGGGAGGGAGCCTTAGGGATGCAGCCTGAGGCCCACCTGCACCCACACTGCTGAAGCCAGGTGTTCACTGTTCCCTGGGACATGCCTACTGAGTCAGAGCAGGGTGAGATTAGCCAGATTCTATGCATCTCACAGACCTTGTGCATGAGAACTCAAAGGCTGTTGCTTCTGGCTGGTGTGGTTCTCAGGTTGCATTCAGACACTCTGAGGAGCCAACAACTGTGTTTAACCAGTCTTCCAGGGGTACCCCCACTTTTTGAGTGAGGGAGTGTCCCTTATTCAAGGGTCCCATGTGATCTTAAGGATCTGCATTTCTAACAAACTCCTAAAGATCCCCTCCACCTAGTGTTTGAATACCTGCTCAACTATAAAGAATCACTTATATGAGCAAAGCTCTAGCCTTTAGCTGGAAGCCCTAAGTGACCTGAGTCCTCTAGACCAGGAGGTCTTGGAGCAGCCTCTAGGTTTCAATTCCTTAGTGCTCCAAGTAATAACATTCTGATTTTCCCAACCACAGTTCCTTGCAGGACACCCGAGGCATCTTTGTCTTACCTAATATACCACCTTGCTATTAACCTTTTGTACTTTATTTGGTAACAGAAATTTGCATACCTATAACGGATGGACAGTTGGTGTCATTTGCCATGAAAGAAGATAAATTTAACAATGTAGTGAACACATGAGAGGAAAAAGAACCCTGCTTCCGTACCCCCACCCCCACCCAAAGCATCTTGTACTGTCATCATGTGATACTTTGAGATGCCTGACAGTGCTGAGCTGAGATGCAGAGGCTGTGGGTGCACACACAGTGTTAGCTCAGACTCACTGCCCTTGGCACCTCCTTTGTGGGTCACAGTGGTTGTAGTTCACCCAGACCTTACACTTGCAAATTCTTTTTATAACTATTAATCAGGGTTTCTTGGAGTGCCCAGTGAGTTAATACTATAGCAACAGGTTTTCCCTGGAATGGTAAAGGAGATCCCAGGAGGCGGGTGGAATGTCAGAAATAGAAGTGATGCCAGGCCTCCAAATAATGTAAACAGCCCATTTCTGTGCCTGTGTGATGGAGTGAGTGCTAGCCAACTCAGTGATTATGAGGACCAGTGTGGGAGCCCAGCTCTTCTGGCTCCTGATGCAGCAATACCAGCCTCAACAAGAAAGAACCACTCTACCGTCTTAAGCTCCTGCTCAGCCAGCCGCTCAGGAGCTCCCGTCATAGTTTGCAAGTGATAAATAACACACTACCAAGCAAATCTGTATGTTTCCTTCTACCTTTTCCCCAAATTTCTGTGAAAAGTTAGCCCAGACTCCATAGGAGAGCGTACTAGATACTGACAAGGTGGTCATAGCAGATGGGGCTCACATGTTAGGAGGGAAGGCATTGAATCAAGCCTACTGAACTAACTTTCTGTGGTTGGTGAGAGGTGCCAGGGAAGACGGGCTTCTGGGGATGCTCTGGCTGGAACCTTATTCCTTCTTCCTGTGTCCCCCAGGCTGGTACAACCGTCTATATATCAACTTCACTTTGCATCGTCACATCTTCTTCTTCTTGCTCCAAACTTATTTCCCAGCCACCTTGATGGTCATGCTGTCCTGGGTGTCCTTCTGGATCGACCACAGAGCTGTGCCTGCCAGAGTTTCACTGGGTAAAAGTGTTTGATAAGGTGTGGTAGGATGCTTTTGGTTTTTCTTTCAGCCGATCAATAGGCAATGGAGAATTAAAGTCATGGGCTGGGCATGGTGGCTCAATCTTCTAATCCCAGCACTCACACTTGGGCTGGAGGACTGTAAGTTTGATGCCAACTTGGGCTACATAGAGACCTTAGAAAAAAACAAAGTAAGTCTTTAGAATTCTTAACTGATGGGCTTGTGAGGACTTTCCTGCCTTTTGCCTGCTTTATCCACAAGAAGCCTGAGATACCATGTTGTGAAAACCTGGGGCAACTACCATTGCACCCCTCAGTCAGCATCAGTCCAAAGGTGGAGCCAATCTGGAGTATGAACCATTACAAGGCAGTTTAGGAGTGCAGTACTAAAAAGTAAATAAACCTTTGGACAAATGCCAGAAGTTGTTCTGTAAACAATAAAACCCTGCCGGCTAGTACAGCCCAAGGCTGGAAGCGGGTGCTAACATGGTTCCTGGGGTGAGGGCTCTGTTACTTTAGAGCTGAAGTTTTTGCCAGACCCTGAATTCCAGAGTGAAAATTTACAATGTAGTGTTACAATTTGGATGAAGTCAGGGTGGACCCTGACAAATGGGAGAACTTACCAAGCAAGCCACAGTGGAGAACTGGACAGAGGTTAATAAATGTGGTTTAGACAGGGAGACTATGCTTGTTCCTTCAGAGGTGTCCCCAAGTCATTGTTTTTAATTCCACACTATAAGTGGTCCCTTATGAGGCATGACCTTATCAGACATGTCATAGAAACTCAGACTCCCTAAGTGACTGAAAACAGGCACTAGTTCTTGGGGGACATTCTGGAATGGGTGAGTCGGGGAAGGCTTGATTGTTTAGGGAGTAGAGCCTCACACTTCTACCGGGTGGAAATATGTCCCAGCAATCTCTCACTTGATTTAGGAGACAGAGAATGTGAAATGTGACTGTGAGATGTGGGCAGGGCTCTGGGGTGGGTCAGCAGCTGAACTAAGATGGTTTTACAGGCATCATGACTGTGTTGACCATGTCCACCATCATCACGGGAGTGAATGCCTCCATGCCCCGAGTTTCCTACATCCGAGCGGTGGATATCTACCTCTGGGTCAGCTTCGTGTTCGTGTTCCTCTCAGTGCTGGAGTACGCAGCCGTGAACTACCTGACCACAATGCAGGAGCAGAAGGAACGGAAGTTTCGAGAGAAGGTGAGGAGACGTCATCCCTTTTCTCCTGTAAGCTGGATGGCTAGTGTTCGGATGAGGAGGAGTTCTTTGGCTGGGTAGGGACCATTAGGAGGGGCCAATGCCCGTGGAAAGGAAGGCATTAACGCCAAAGTGTGAACAGTTCTCTTCTTGCCTTGCTAGACAGAAATTGTGCGCAGGGAAGAAGCTCTTTATGTGCTGGTCTGTAGTAGCTTTTGTATCCCTCAGCATCTGACAGCAGCAAGTGTCCCCAGCAAGCAAGCAGGAGCCGCAGCAGGCGCCACCATCTAGAACTCCAACTCTTAGATCTGCAACTGTTTCCTTTTCATGAAATAGAGCTTGATCATGGATTACCCTTCCCCAATTTTTCCTGCCCTCCCCCACCTCCCTACCCACCCAACTTAATCCCCTGCCCCTCTTATTAAAAAACAAAGCCAGGCAGAGGTGCCATACACCTTTAATCCCAACACTTGGGATGCAAACACAGGCAAATCTCTGAGTTCAAGGCCAGTCTGGTCTACAAAGCAAGTTCCAGGACAGCCAGGGCTACACATAGAAACCCTGTCTCAAACAGACAGACAGACAGACAGACAGACAGACAGACAGACAGACAACCTGTTAAGAAAAAAAAAAAACCAAGAAATACACCCTTAACCCCCACACACAAAATCTGAGACTATAATATACAAACAAAAGATCAATAAGGCAAAAGAAAAAAAATGCCCAGACAAAAATGAAACAAGGAGTCTACAAAGAATACCTTTGAGTTCATTTTATGTTGGCCATCCACTGCTAGTCGTAAGTGGCTAATAGATCCAGTGAGATTCCGTTGGTGAAAATTATTTTTTCTTTGCCGGCGGGTATCAATTACAAATAGCTTCTTGGTCAGGGGTAGGAGCCCCTGTCCACTTCTCACTCTCAGTGCTGGGACCCCCATCTAGCTAGAACTTGTGCAAGCCATGTGCATCCTGCCATAGTCTCTGTGAGTTCACGCGTGTATTGGTCCTTTTCTGTCTGGAAAACACTGTTTCTTTAGAGTCATCCATCGCCTCTGGGTCTTACAGTCTTTTTCCACTCTTCCACATAGATTGCTGAGCCCTGAGGGGAGAAGTTTGATGAAGGCATCCTATTTAGGACTTCGTGTTCCAAATTCTATCGTTCTGTACATTGTAAAGTTGTGGGTCTCTGTGTTAATTACCATCTACTGCAAGAAAAAGGTTCTCTGATGATGGCTGAGTGAGGCACTGATCTATGGATATAGAAGACTGTCCTTAGGAGTCATTTTATGTTTTTTAGCAGAATAATAGTATTTGGTTTTAACCTAGGCCTGTGGTGTATCTAGTTTCAGGTTCTTAGTCACTTTAGCAGTGTCAAGTATGGGCATGGACTGGGCCTTAAATCCATCCATTCAGAAAGTTGTTGGGTACTTTTGTAACTATTGTGCCACTATTGCACCAGTTTATCTCACAGGCAGGTCACTCTTGTAGGTCACAGCATTTTCAGCTAGGTAGATAAGTATTTTTCTTCTCTGGTAGATGCACACAATACCTTCTAGTACCATGAAACTTCTAGTTAGGCATTAACAAGACTCCTCCATGTTCAATGAGATATATTAGTGTTGTCTTTAGCAATGGTTGTGGAGAGTAACCAATAGCCTGTGATGTTTGGGGTGAGTCAGGGAAGGCCTGATTATTTAGGGAGCAGAGCCTCAAGGGGCCCCTTTAGCCAATGACTCGAAAAGATGTAACCCATTCCTGGTACTGGTTTTATTTGGTGGCCTAAAGATGTCTACTTGGAGCATTGTCTCCATCATTATTTGGTGACTTCGTTTATATTCCTTTTATATGTGCATTGTTTTAGGAAACTTCTACAGTAGTAGGTTTCCATATGGTTTTTCACATGACAATTAGTGTTAGTTGTCTGTCCCTACATTCCCTTCTTTTTCTTTTTCCCTATCCACTTCCCTATTTAATTCTACTCCAATTTCCTCTTTGTCTCTCACAAAAGTATGTTCTATTTTCCCTTCCATGGGAGACCCTATTCTCCCCACTAGTCTCTTACCAAGTATCTAAACCCCATGGTTATTTAGTGCCATGTATATCGAAAGCTTAAAAACTAACATCCACATATAAGAGAAAACATACAATATTGTTAAGGGATTCCCACCTGAGTCCCGTCGCTGCTTCAGAGCCCCCAGACAATACACAGAGACTCTATTAGTTACAATGCTGCTGGCCAGTATTAAGGGCTTCTTATTGGCTAGCTCTGTCTTAAGTATTAACCCATAACTTCTAATATATGTATTTCTCAAGGTCTTATCTTACCCAGAATGCCAGATTCATGCATCCTCTCCCCCTCCCAATCACATGGCGACTCCCACTACATTTCCCAGAATCCTCCTTCTTTCCTAGTCCTACCTATCTTGCTTCCCTATTGGCCAACAGTGTTTTATTCATTAACTAATAAGAGAGACATATACACCGAAGAACTTCCCCCATCACAATATTTGTCTTTTTGAGTCTGGGTTACCTCAGTCAAGATGAATTTTTCTAGCTCCATCCATTTACCTACAAATTTCATAACTTCTTTTTTAACAACTGAATAATAGTCTATTGTGTAAATGTATCACATTTTCATTATTTATCTATTAGTTGAACATCTAGGCTATTCCTGATTTCTGGCTGTCATGAGTAAGGATGATCAACTATTTCTGTAGTAGGATGTGGAGTCTTTTGGATACATGTCCAAGGGTGGTATGGCTGGATCTTGAGGTCAATCTATTCCCATAGTGATTTCTATAGTGATTTCCATAGTGGCTGTTTCAACTTGCACTCCCACCAGCAGTGAATAACCTGTTCACCACTCCCCACATCCTCACCAGCAAGAATTGTCATGTTTTTATCTATTTACTTTAGTTTCTTTTTATTTTATGTACATTGGTGTTTTGCCTGAATGTATGTCTGTGTCTGTGTTGGATCCCCTGGAACTAGAGGCACAGACAGTTGTGAGCTGCTATGTGAGTGTTGGTAATCAAACCCTGGTCCTCTGGAAGAACAGCCAGTGCTCTCTACCACTGAAGCCATCCTTTCAGCTCCTGTGATTTGTATAATTGATCTTAACTAATCTCACTGAGGTAAGATGAAATCTCAAAGTACTTTTAATTTGCATTTCTACGATGGATAAGGATCACCAACATTTAAGTGTTTCACCTTTTTAAAAATTGTGTTATTTTTCATGATGTTCATGGTTTTTTGTTTTTTATATATTTTAGATATTAACCTTCTATCAGATGTATAATTGGTAAAGATTTTTTTCTCATTCCATAACCAGTGTCCTTTGCCATACAGAGCTTTTCAGTTTCATGAGACCCTATTTATTAGCTGTTCTTAGTGCCTGTTGTATTGGTGTCCTGTTCAGAAAGCCTTTCCCATGCCAGTGAGTTCAGGCTTGTTCCCTACTTTCTCTTCTATCAGATTCAGAGTATCAATCAAATCTTATGTTAAGATCTTGATCCATTTGAACTTGAGTTTTGTACAGGGTGATAGGTATGGATCTATCGGCATTTTCTACATGTGGCCATGAAGTTTGACCTATATCATTTGTTGAAAATGCTGTGTTTTCTCCCGTGTGTGTTTTTGTCCTCTTTGTTAAAAATTAGGTATCCAAAAGCATATATTTGAAATCTGGGATGGTGATACCTCCAGCAGCTCTTTTATTTTTCAGTATTGTTTTAGCTATCCTGTTTTTATTATTTATTTGTTTTCAAATGAAGCTGAAAATTGTTTTTCAATGTCTATGAAGAACTGTGTTGGAATTTTGATGGGGTTTGTGTGGGATCTGTAGATTGCTTTTTGTAGGGTGGCCATTTTCACTATATTAATCCTACCAATCCACCAGTATGGGAGATCTTCCACCTTCTGATGTCTTCTTCAATATCTTAAAGTTCTTATTATACAAGTCTTTCACTTGGCTGGTTAGTTATCTCAAGTCTGCCCCACCCCTCACGCCTTTGAGTCTATTCTTAAAGGTACTATTTCCTTGACTTCTTTATCTGTCATTTGTTTATAGGAAGGCTATTGATTTTTGTGTATTAACTCTGTATCCTGCTACTTTGCTGAAAATATTTATCAGCTGTATATGTGTCCCGATGAGTATTTGGGGTCTTTTATGTATAAAATAATTTCATCTGCAAATAAGAATACTTTGACTTCTCCCTTTCCTTATCTGTATCCCCTTGATCAACTTCAGTTGTCTTTTTTTGTTTTGTTTTTTGAGATAGGGTTTCTCTGTGTAACCTTGGCTGTACTGGCACTCTGTAGACCAGGCTGGCCTGGAACTTACAGAGATCCACCTGCCCCTGCCTCCTGAGTGATGGGATTAAAGGCATGTGCCATCACTGCCTGGCCACTTCAGTTGTCTTATTGTTCTAGCTAAGGCTACAACTATTATATTGAATAGGTATGGAGAGAATGGACAACCTTGTCTTGTCCTTGATCTTAGTGGAATTGTTTTGAGTTTCTCTCTGTTTAGGTTGATGTTAGCTGTGAGCTTGCTGTAAATTGCCTTTATTATGTTGAGGTATGATCCTTGTCCATAATCTTCCTAGGACTTCTATCATGAAGGGATGTTAGATTTTGTCAAAGTTTTGTTTTGTTATGATCATATGATTTTTGTCTTTCAGTCTGTATATGTGGTGGATTACATTTATTGATTTACATATGTTGAACCATCCCTGTATCTCTGGGATGAAGCCTAGTTGATTATGGCAGATAATCTTTTTGATGTGTTCTTAGGTTCAATTTGCAAGTGTTTATTGAGAATTTTTGCATCTATGTTCATAAGGCATATTGGTATATAATTTTTTGATTGGGTCTTTGTGTGGTTTTGGTGTCAGGGTAATAATGGTTCCATAAAAAAGAATTAGTAAGTGTTCCTTCAATTTCTACTTTGAAAAGTAATTTGAGAAGTATTAACATTAGTTTTTCTTTGAAAATCTTGTAGAA